TAATCATTATATTCCTTTTATGGTATGTAATAGCTTCAATATTTTGAAATCCACAGGATGGATATTCCATTTCAGTATTTAGCTGTATCGCCTTCATGATATCAGAATGTATTTTAAATTGCTAAATAAAAAATCAGACAAGGTTGGGGGCAGGGAGATGGCTCAGTAGAATAAGCACTTGCCTAGCAAGCACAAGGGCCTGAGTTCAATCCCTGGTTCAGCAAAAAAAAAAAAAAAATTAGACATGGTGCTGCATGCCTATAGTCCGGAGGCAGGAGGATCATCGTCAGTCAAAGGCCAGCCTGGGCTACACAGGGAGTTCAAGGACAGCCTGCACTAATAGCATGACCTCTCTCAAAAAAACTGAATAAATTGCTAAATGAATTAAAGTATTGAAAAAACATGTATTCAGCAAAGATACACATTACTTTCACTTGTCCTCTTCTGATTTTTTTTTAAACACATGTTTGCATTAACTTGTTAATCCAGAAACACAGATTTTGCTACAAAGACAATTTAAGTGTTTCTGGTTTTGTTTTTTGTTTTTTTTTTTTTGATACAGGGTCTCAATACCCAGTTCAGACTTGTTGTGATCCTCGTGTCCCAGCCTCCCTAGTGCTGGGATTACAGGCGTGTGTCATGCCTGGTTCTGGGGACTGAATTTGGGACCTTGTACTTGCCAGGCAGCTGTCTTCCCAGCTGCCTCTGCAGTATTTTAGATAAAAGGTATTTGGCACAAGGTTACAGTCTTGTTGGAGCAGTTTTATTCTCTTTATTGGATTAACAACAAAAATCTCCACATTAATCAATACAAAAATAACTCAAAAGTGACATATGGAAATTTGTTTTAAATGCTTCAAGATTTGTTTCATGTAATCATGATAGTTTTTTGTGATCTACTTTTAAAAAGTAAATGTTTCATAGAAACTTTAGTAATAACCAGGATAATGCATGCCACTTGAGCAAGCCATTAAGAGTAAGGAGAAAGCTTATTAAAAGGTCTTTTCATTATAATTAGGCCAGTACTTTATCTCTTCACTACTTGTTAGCTTTGCTGTCACAATAAAAGTTTCAGATTTTACTCTTATCAACACCCCCTATTCTCCTGTAACTAGCTTGCTAAAAAAAGATGTATGGCTCATCCTCAAATGTCACTTAACAAATGGGCCACATGTTCAAGTATTCTGTAAAGAGCAGGTCTGTGTTTCACATTGTTTGTGAGCTGATAAAACATTTACCTCATAGGCAAATAAATGCTTTTTCTAAAGAGGAGGCCTGCTTTCCCTCCCCACCACTTTATGAGATCTACCTGGGTTGTTCCTGAGGGCTTCTATATTGCTTATTCTTTAAGGAAAAAACCCACAAAGCTTCCATATTATTTTTATCCACCTCCTGTGTTAGCCATCACATCCACTATAGTCTTGATGCTGTTACTTTAACCATCTTAGTCTGGAGAACAGGTGAGAATGGAAGGATCAAAGAGGCATATCCTTTTAAAGAAATCTATATTGTAGTTCAGGGTTAATACTTTCAAGTGACTCAAGGCAGAGAGATGTCAAAGCTATATACCATGTTAAAAAATAGCCCTCTGGCCTTACAGTACAGTATTTAAGTTATGAGATAATATGCTAATCTCGTTCAGTTCTCAGGGGAGTACAGTTTAATTAGATGTTGTACTTCTGTTGGATAACCTGTGATGGGACAGGCTTGGTGACTCCTCACATAATTAAACACACAGCGATAGCAAAACACATAACCAGAGGTGGCAAGCACAGTATCGTTCACCCGGGTTTTCCGACACAGGGGGCACACAGTCTTCATTTTGGGTAACAAAGGAGAATCAGAGTTGTAATCTAGGTGTACAGGTGGTGGCGGAGTAGGCAGGGCAGTCAATGATTTGATGGTTTCTTGATTTTCCATTGAGTACCACCAGTCAAGGAACTGTAGGAAGAAGACACCCACAGAAAGGCCAGTAGAGAGGGACAGGGCAACACCTCCCACAGTTTTCTTCAGAGCTGATTTTATCTTCTCACTAATGCTGTTGGGAAAAAAGAGAACAACGAGGCAAAGAGAAAAACCTTAGTTATAATCTCAGAATCACAATACAAACCTAATTTTCATCAGAATCACTGATTTGGGCATTGAAGAGTTGCTGGGTTGGCACTGTCTCCTTAATCTATTCTATATGGTTCTTTCCTGATAGTATTTCAGATGCATAGGTGTTAAGCTTCCTTTTTGATAAGATTAGGATTTTGTTTTTATAAAGACATTACTAGAAATTAATTATATATACTTTTGGTAGATGATAAGGCATCCAGAAATGAAAAAAAAAAAAATTACTTAAAAAGTAACTTAGCAGTACTGAGCAGTACATATATTTTAACTTGTTGGAAAACACCAGTAGTTAAAAGTGGCTGTGCTATCATGGTAAAGAGCAATCCTTACAGCTATGTTATCTGCCTTGAATCTCAGCTCTGCCACTTTACAGCTGGGCAGCTTAGGCCAAGGTACTTAGCCATGAGGGCTTGATTTCCCCAATTATTAAATGGAGCACATACTTCATTGCATTGTAATAATGCTTAAGATAATATACATAAAAACCTAGGTTGTGGCCTGGCACATAGTAAGTGCACACTAAAATGTAACTACTGTATAAGATGGTTACCAGAGAGCTCTTCTTACAAACAGAAGAAAAACTTAGGTTTTTATGAAATAAAGTAGACTGAGGAAGATACATTTCATAAAGTTGGAATAAGATTTTAGAATTTGCTAAAAGGGGTTCATTTTATTTTATTTTTTTGCAATGGTAAGCCTTACCTCCTGGCTGGCTGCTGCATCATATTGGCTCTAGGTCTCTGCTCCAGAGCTTGCATATCCTGAACTGTTAGCCGACTTAGTCGAACTCCAGCCAGTCTTAGTAGTGGCGAGTGGTGCTGAGATTTTCCTAGAATGTATTGGAGTTGTTGTACTAGAAACCAGCCTTCCCAGGCCATGTTAACAAATGGGTAGGCTGCCAGAAAGGCTCTGTAAAATCGCTTCCAGTGGGAAGAAGGGGGATGAATAGAATATTCATCCTCTTCTCTCAAGCTAGAAACCAGCTTCTCTAGCTTTACTTTCAAATAGGGAAGAAGAACCAGGAACATAACTGACTTCCAGAGGTGCTTCGTGGGCAGACCGGCACTGGCCAATGTCTGAGACCTGTGAGAGTCTCCCATTACAACACGCTTTAAGCCATAGAAGTTTTCAGAAAATGAGGCACTGGCTTTAGACAGATAATGCTGCTGAAGCAGAAGATCTAGCAGAGTAAAAATTTCATCAAACCACCTCCACAGGAAGCCCCAGTGGGCAGGATTTGATTCTGCAAGAACCTAAAGCAAAATAAATAAAATTCAGTCTTCTGCATCTACTATACCTTTATTTACATTTCCTTCTCCCACCCCACCACCCCAAATTCTACACACTTTTAGTTGAAGTCACTTCTTTTGGGCTTCTTCCCTAAAACCTCCCTGAAGTGTAAGTCAAGGCTCTGGAGACTTAACGATCCGATCCGTTAGGTAATGGGATATAAACTTTGCAAAGCAGTTATTCCCAACCCTAGACTGCCAAGTAAGCAAAACTTCCTGAACTTTAACCCGGTTACTGAAACCTTTCAGAGAATTAATGTCTTACCTTGACCACATGCTGAAGAGCAGGTCGCACTGCTGTCATTAAGCTGTCCTGTGCAACCACCTCAAAGATGGAGGGCTGGTCATCCCCTACAGAAGCAGTTGTGATATGAGCCCCGTACTCAGCCATAATATTTTGTGTGTTCCGGATTTAAGTTCTCTAGTGAGCATGCGCTGGTGAGTGTGCTACCAAATAAATGGGTGCTGTCCTACAGGTAATCTCTATGCATGACACCCGAGACTCCAAAACTCAATTTTACAAGTGAGATTCAACGCCGGTAAAAAGACCTTTGGACCCGGAGGGAGGGCGTCTCAAATGAAGTTAATTCCAAAACGCAGGGAAGTAGTATGCGAGGAGCGGCGGCGTGCCGAAGGCTGCACCTCGCAGGGCCGAACGTAACTGGGGAACAGGTACGGACTGAGGGGGCGGTGTCTCCTGCAGCCGAGAAACGGCCCCTCTGCGCGGCGAGGGCTGAGAAGCCAGCGGGCTCTAAGGGACCCGAGGTCCTGGTGCCGCCTGCAGGCGCGGTCTGGCGGGTACCCCCGCCCGCACCTGTCCGTCCTCTCGGACCACGGGCGAGGCGCGAAGGGCCCGCGACGCCACCTTCGATGGGAGGTCTCGTCTTTATGACCACATCCACAGGCGGAAACAGACGCCGCGGGGATCTCGCGGAGGGCTGGCGGAAGGGAGGCGCACGCCGCCGGGAGCCGGAACTGGCGGACTCTATGGTCTTCCGGGGACTTCCGCCCGCCCCTCTAGATTTAGAGGGGCGGATCGGGGGCTTTCGCGGGGGCGCTCTACCTGTGAACGCTCATCTGTTCGGTTTCAGTCTTCCCGGCAGTGACCCAAGCGGTAAAGTCTCTGATCTTCTATCTGCTGAGGTCTCTCCGAGGCTCGGGACGCCGCGTCGACCGCTGGCGCCGGGATCCGAAGCTCCGGCCCCGCCGAGGCCTGCGCTCCGCCGGCGACGGGTCTGGGGCGGAGGGAGCGACGGAGGGACGCGGAGCCGCACACCGACGTTAGGGGTGTCGCTCACTTTACCCCCTGCCGCCTTCCGGAAAGGATTTGATCCTTTCCTTTATGATCGCCAATTACAAAGAAAATTTAATACGTAGGATGAGAAAGGTTGTTTGTTCTTTTGTGTGTGTGATGAGAAAGGTTCTGTTTGTTCGTGTGTGTGTGTGTGTGTGTGTGTGTGTGTGTGGCCAGCTCAGCCCACCAGGGGGCGGGGCTGGCTGGCACGTCGTGCTGGGGGATTGAACCGCGGTCCCCGTGCTTTGCTAAGCTTGTTCCAAGTAGGTGCTTTAGACCACTGAGCCATCTCACCAGCCCCGGTTCTGTTTGTTCTTGACAACTTGGGACGATTAATTTTTATCCAAGCTGATAGTTCAGCTGTCTTACAGGTGTAACATCCACTATAGCTTTAGGCACTTGCTGTATGAAATAAAAGTTATTCCTGCCCGCCTACCTAGTAGGATGGGTCACGTTAGCGCCATGAACGTAGTGCTGAAGTGGAGGGCCCTGATGAATTAAGCGTGAACTGAGGAAGCTCCACCGTTTGTATACCAAAAATAACATAATCTATCTTACAGTTTGCGAAATGCACTTTGTATACAACTTATCTTTTGAGTGACTGATAGCAGTTTATTGGATTTGAATAAGAAGTCAGCTTCTCTTCATTCCTGCCCCACGTCTAGGCTAAATATCATGGAGAAATAAAAGGCATTCACTGGTCTAGAGGATTTTACTATATAAAAGTAGGCAGTTGGTTTGTATAATGAGAACCGTCAAAAAACAAAGCCTGGTGAAGCCTTGTGGCACACTCCTGTAGTCCCAGCACTCGGGAGACTGAGACAGGAGGATGGATGCGTGTTGGACGCCAGGCTGTGTGTAGTGACTTCAAAACTAGCCTGAACTACATAGTGAGACTCTTGTCTCAAAACAAAATGGTAGCATCTTTAAAAAAAGATACATATATATATATATATATATAGTCTCATGCTGTACATGTAGTGATTCAATTCAGGTTATAAAATTTTGGTAGGAATATTACAAATATATAGATGGATTTTTCTTTGTGTAGCATGCCAGAAGCTATATGTAGCTGACAAAGTTGCTTTTTTTTTTTTTTTTTTTTAGGCAGGGCCTTAATAAGTAGTTAATGCTGGCCTTGAACTTGCCACTCTTCCTGCCTCAGCCTCTTGAGTGCTAAGGTTACTGGCATGTGCCTCAATGCCTGTCTTGCTGGTGGATTTTGCTCATTATCAAGAATATTTCCATTTCCCTAACTTCTTTCTTTTATAGTGAAACTACTGGGATTCTCATTTAATATCTTGTTTTAAATATTATGATCTTAGTTTTTATATTTGTTTCCTTTTTCAGTTTGTTACTAAGCAACTATGTAAAGAACTATCTTTGAGATTCAGATGGCCAAAACTTGCTTGTACCAATTCTTTGCAATTTCCATGTGAAAACATCATTTTTATCTCCTTTAGGCTTAATTGCTACCACAGTAGTAGTGGTGTTTCAGATCTGCATTGAAATACCTTCAACAAAGCCTAAGTGTTTTAGACTCTTCCAAACTAAGGTATTGCTTAAACGTCTTACCAATAACTTTTCCTTTTCAGTATTTTGTAATTTATATTTTGATTGTGTAGTTTTCAAAAAAATTATAAATTTGATACAATTATACTAAATTTAAAATAAATACTCTTACTAAAAATTGTGTCTAGATTTAAGCTTTAACTATTTCATTAATTTTTGTACAATTTTGTTTTACTGTAATCATTTATAATTAGATATATCAGTTTTCTTATCTGTTAGTGAAAATTGAATAAAATTACAGATCTAGTTGAATTCTAAATATATGTATATAAAGTCTGGTTGTTGTGTTTCTACCTTCAAAGTTACCCTTGATTATAACTTTAAAATGTTTTTTACTCTAATGAAATATCTGCCACAGATTTATTTGTTTACAGGGTCTCGGTGTGTATTTCAGGTTGACTATGAAATCACTATGTAGCCCAGGCTGGCCTCAAACTCACAATGATCCTCTTTCCTCAGCCTCCTGAGTGTTGGGATTACAGGCATGTGCCACCCCCCACCAGAAATATTCATCTTTTATTTTAAAGAAAAAAACAACAACAATGGTATAAAAATTTCAAAACAAGATTGTAGGAGAGTAACAATGGTTAGTACATTGCATATTGTTATCTTCAAAGTAGTTGCACACATTACAAGATACAGGATGAAAAACTGATCAAACATAGGTACAAGTCTTTTTAATGAACCAATCAATTAGTAATGTAACTATCTTGTGTCTATTTTTTTCCTTTTCCCTCAGAAATATTCTTGAAACTAATGTGTATAAAATATCCAAATAGCCAGTCTACAAGCCAAATATAACTACTACATTATATATAAACTTAAGTGAACAGCAAAAATACAAAAGTTTACAAATGACGGTTTTTTTTTTTTTTTTTCAGTACCAGGGATTGAACTTGGGACCTTGTGCTTGCTAGGCAGGCATTTATGCCCCTGAGCTATATCCCCGACCCTAGAAATAACTTGAAGACAATTTGGAAATTAAACAGTTGAGTCAACCAGAGTCTTTTGGTTGCAAGCAACAGAAACAAACAGGCTAATTTAAAATAAAAAGAATTTACTAAAAGTGTATGGTGGAAAAAAAAAAGTATATGATGGGCTGGAAATAGAGCTTAGGCAGCACAAGCATCTGCCTGGCAAGCACAGGGTCCTGAGTTCAGTTCCCAGGAAGAAAATAAATAAAAGTGTATGGAGGGGGCCGGGGAGATAGGTCAGTGGAATAAGTGCTTGCCTGGCAAGCACAAGGTCCTGAGTTTGATCCCTGGTACCACCAAAAAAATAAAATAAATGAGAGTGTATGGAGCCAAGGAGATAAGGTCCGGGTAAGGGCAAGGTCCAGAGTTTGGTCCCCAGTACTGTAAAAATATAAATAAATAAAAGTGTAGGGAGTAGCTCAAAAAAAAAGCCTGTCCTGAAAGAATGGGAGCTCTGCAATCCTGTTGGATTCCTGTAGCAGGAATTAGTCTCTCATGCAGGCAATGTTGTTACAATGAATGAAGTTCAATTAGTTTATATTTGTCACTGCTTGTGATTCAAATTCCAACTGACCAGTTTTGGTTTGGGTTCCTTTTCAACTTTATTTTCGTTTAGCTAGAGGAGAAGTAAGTCATCTTGATTAATAGTCCCCAAACTGAAGCTGTATGAGAAAAGGAAAGGCAGTCCAAAAGTCATCAACTATCACAGTCAACAAATAAGTACCTTATAAGCACCACACCCTTAGTTGGGTGCATACCTGTAATTCCAGGTATTTGGGAAGCTGAGGCAAAAGGATCACATAACATGAAGGAGAAACCAATCAACCATCCCTACCTTTGTAACCTCCCTTCATACCTTCAAATAAACCACAGGGACAGCTAGTTCCACTTACCCTCATTATCCTTGTTATCCTGTAACAGATGGTTTGAGATGTTTCACAAAAAAAACTTATTTTGATGCAAACACATCTATCACACACTTTCACCCACTATATCCTCTCTCAACATTAAAAAAAAAAGAAAATGGAGTTGAGATGTTAAAGCATTTTCCCAGTCACATTCAGGGAAGAATTAGAACACAGATCAGATGGGTTCTCCATATCCAATCTTTGCCCTCTGCCATGCATAGCTGTACCTCCACTGTCAGCTCCTGAACCAGAAACATGAGCGGAGGTTGATTTGCTTTCAAATAAAGGGACAGGTTGTTTCACGCCTTTGTATGTTTAAGAAAATCCCTACGCGAGGAACCAAATCCATAGAATATCAGCTCGTTTAAATATATACCCTAGCAAAAAGATATGCGTCTCCAAGGCGACAGAGACGCCTGCCCTTCTCGTTCTCCCGCGCACCAGGATGACGTCACGCGGCGAGGTCCTCTGATGTCAAAGTTTCCGGCCCACCATCTTTGTGCCTGGCAAAATTGGGTTTTGCGCAGTGGCTTAGACCTAGAGAAAGAATCGTGACGGGCAGGAAACCATTACAACACCACCCCGGCTGCGCTCTCGGCTGCCGCCGCCACTCCCAGCCCTTGCCTCCGGTGAGTTCAAGGCTGCTGGGTTTCGGGGGTGTCCCTGCTTATTGGGGAACTGGGGGGTGGGGTGAAGAGAAGAGGGAACCCCAGGTTCGGTCGGAGACCCGGAGAGGAAAGGAAATCCTAGGAGCGTGACCGTTGAGGCTGGAAGGAGCCGTCGGGTGTGACCGTTGTGAGGAAAAGGCTCTCTCCATCGCCCTGGAGCTGGGGTGGGAGGAGGAACTGCCCGGGTGTGGCGGCGGGTAGTGGGGGGCTTTGAAGGGAAAATCCGTTTCGAGGTCCGGGGGCTTGGAGAGCCGAAGCCAGGGGTGTGGCCCGTGGACGCTGGAGGCCGAGGGGAAGCGACCTTCTTCCCGCTCGGCGTAGTTCGGGGAGAGCCTGGGACGTGGCCCGGGAGGAGCCTGGGACGTGGCCCGGGAGGACCCCAACGGTTTCTCCATTCAAACCTCGCCTGCCTCCTGGGTCGCGAGGTTAGAGACCTCTGCCCCACCTGGTAATGGGGGAATGTGTCCCTAGGGCCAGGCCCCTGGGGAAGAAAGGAAAAGGAGACACCCACGGGATTGATCCGGAGGAGAGGGAGGTCGGTGGAATAAATGTTAGTCTACAGATTTCTTCGGTTTTTGTTTTTTGGTTTTTTTGTTTATTTTTTTGTTTTTCCCCAGAGTTCAGCAGGACCAGCCTGGTTTGGGAAGGGTTCTACATTACGCGAAAAATAAACTTGGAATTTCCTGTTATTTCCGTGTTTTTTGCATTCGAAGAATTTGTGTTGGTGGTTTTCAGAGCAGTCTTCTATTTGGGAGTAGGCTTTTATTGAACTCACTGGGCTATTTCATTATGTGAATGTGGTGTGGGTGCCTCATAAACTTTTGACTTTTCAAAGAAAAGTTGTGCGAGTATACGTATGTGTTTAACTGCAATTACAACCAGATGGTTTAAAAGAAAGTGTAGTGAAAACAGCTCAGAAAGGCAGGATGACTCAGAAAGAAGGTGGTCTCAGTGAGGAACGATTTAAATTATTAATTACTATTCTTGTATACAGTAGTTCTATTGCTTAGCCTAAGGGTACACTTACAAAGTAATAACAGCAGCAGATGAAGGAGCTGCAGGTGTACAGGAAAATGTGTAACACATTCCAACATGACTAAGTATGCTGGTAAGGTGAGAACTGTCTGCAGGTATCTTAACAGTTGAAACTCCTTAGGAAGTAGAAAAGATAGTGTGACCTACACACAGCCTCTTTGAAAGCCAGGTAAAGCTAACATTTTGACTAAGTTGAAGAAACTCGAGAAAGCTCACTTCTTTTATTCTTCTGTAAAAGACCAGTATTTTAGAATACTGTATTTTAGACATGGGTTGGAACCAAGCTGAACAAAAAATATAAAGATGAGACATGGTCTCTTCTTTCTAGGTCTAAGTTTTTGCAGACTGTATTGGTATTTTACAACAATTGGATGAAAATGGTTTGAACTTCTTACTTTTTGTAAAACACAGTACTATATTAACACATTATTTTGTAGTCATATTTAAACAAATTGCAGGTGATTTTAGGTTTTAAGTGTTTTTTTAAGTGTTTTATAATGAGCTAAGTCATACCTAAAGATGTTACTGTTTTTGTGTTATTATTGAATATTTGATAGCAAGTGAATTTAACACCTCCAATCTTTGTAATAAAAAGTTGCTGGAATAACCTTTCTGCTTTATAATTTCTTTTTTCTCTGCTTTGTAATTTCTTAACTTGAGCTAGTTTTTCACTATGAGTACTGAACTGTGTAAAACCACAGTGTAATGGCCAACCTTAAGCAACACTAATTTAGGGTGTGCTTTCCAGAGAGCTATTTGAAATTAAGCTTTTATCCATTTTTTTCTGATCTTATTTCTGCCTACGTTATTAGTCTTATTTCACTGCTGAGCTTCTCTTGGGGAATGGAGGGAGGGAGGAGTGGAAAGAGAGGAAAGCTTTCACAACCTATATTTGGAAGAAACTAGGTTATTTTAAATCTAGATCTATAGTTCTGTGGAAGGAGGCCTTTTGTTGAGTGTGGTGCTATCACACTTGGCTAGGACCAGAAGACGTGATTATGTGCTTTGACAGTGTTACCTTTGTTGTTTAACAAGGGTCCCTAGGCCATACCATAAGTTCTCAGAAAAATCCAGTGATTGGTCAGGTTTGATCTGGTAGAAAGGTAGTGTGAGTTCAAATTTCATCATGGCTTTGCTTATTCCGGGCTTTCCTGTGGAACAACTGCTCCCACTCCCTACTTTGATTTCTCTCTCTCTCTCTCTCTCTCTCTCTCTCTCTCTCTCTCTC